TGGTGAAACATCTCACAACTATTTAGGCTCATTGGCAACAGGTCACTAACTTGATTTGGTATAAAAAGAGCATCTTAGAGAGGCTGAATGTTTTAAAATAAAGATGAGAAGGGGTTCACCACTCTTTGAAAGACTTTGACAACAATTCAAGAATAATGTAAAATGGCATCATCTACACTGCATAATATCATCAAAAGATTCTGAGAATCTGGATAAATCTGTATGCAAGGGACAATGCTGATAAAAAACAGACCTGATTCTGTAGTGGAAATTGTTGCTTGGGCTCAGGAACACCTTTGAAAACCACTGTCTGTGAACACAGTTTGTCACTGCATCCACAAATGCAAGTCATAAACCTGCCAAGTAAAGAAGAAACCATATATAAACAGGATCCAGAAATGCTGCCGCCTTCTCTGGGCTGAAGCTTATTTAAAATGGACTGAGGTGAAGTGGAAAAGTGTCCTCTTGTTTAAAAATTTTTGGAAATCATGCATGCCGGGCTAAAGAAGAGATGGACCATTCGTGTTGTTATTAGCACGCAGTTCAAAAGCCAGCATTACCATTAATGCCAAACGCTATGTACAGCTTTTGAAGCAATATGAAGCAATGCAGCATTGGGAGCCCTATGTGCTAGAAGCACAATATTTGTGATTGGAATATTTATGAATTTCATAATTCCAGAGTCTGCACTGGTATTCTCAAATGTGTAAACTTATAAATAAATAAATAAATAAATAAATAAATAATAACAACTTTCTATGAGTAGATTCGTCCACTTTTAACATGAGCAGTACAGCAGGGACATGACTGCATTTTTAAACACTTTTTCTTTTTTTGTTGTCAGTCATATATTCTTGGTTTGACCTCTGTCTCTGAGAACGCATTTGCATTCCCTTGCTTTACCTGTTCATGCTGTATTGTCTCTTATCAAACACCTGTTAAAGTGTGGCTTTGTGTTATCTTTAGCCCTCAGCGTTCGCAGAGCACAAGCGCATTTGACCGCTTTAAACTTGCATTACAGGTTTCTTTTTTTTATTGAAAACCTGACAGCTCCGTTTGTGCCCTTGTTTCTTTCTCTGTTATGTTTAGTACATGTGGTCATTTTATGACTGCATATTATTGTTTTGTGGTATATATTTTTCATATAATGTACTATTAATGAGAAGGTCAAGTACACTCATTTAAGAATTTATTATGTACTTAAAGTCAACATGTCTCGGAACTCCATACGATGACATAGTCCTGAGTAAAAGTAGGTAGTTAGTCATCTTTTTCAGGCTTTTCTACACAGTCACTGGGCCATTGGCTGACAGCATGCTGGAGTAGGTCTCGTCGGCTGCTTTGATCTCTCTTGTTACCGTTCCTTGCCTGCTTATATAGTGTCCTGTCTTCAGGTCTGTGTGCCTATTGTTTGAACTGATGCAACTGTCTAAGGTTGGTATTAAACCAGGGTTTGTCATTGTTGTGTTTGATATGAGTCCTAGTGGGCATATAGATGTACTCACAGAAGCTGATGTTAGATACCAACGTGTCAGTGTATTTGTCCAGATTATGGACTGCATTCTCATACACATTCCAATCATTATATTCCAGACAGACCTGTAGCTCATCCATTGCCTAATTTTACTTCTTCATAATACTGTGCACAGGCCTGTAGATTGGGAGGGAGGATGAACGAGGCAGTGATCAGAGAGGCCCAAGTCTGCACAGGGAACAGAGCGATATGCATTCTTTAAAATATTGTAGCAGTGGTCTCCATTGTTGGGCAAATGATGCGTTGTCTGTATTTGGGCAGTTTTTGACTGAGATTGCCTCTGTCCCCTAAAACAATGAAAAGAGTTTGTTATCTGCTCTGGTTATTTGTTTAATTTGTTCCATCCTTGCACTTACTTTGGGGTATACAGTACTGTACAAAAGTCCTAAGCACCTGAGAAAATATGTCACAGTGAGTATTTATTTTTTCAGAATAATCAAAAACAATAAAAACAAGTAAAGAAATAAATGGTACACTATGATTTTATGTGTGTGAGTATATTAGCTTAATCATTTCCAAACCTCTCCTTGAAGAACAGCATTTACAGTTACCATTCAGTACCTAGTACCTGGGCTAATGAGTTCTTTATTCAATTAAATCAGGTGTGCTGTGGATGGTAATCGATTCATCTATGCAATGTAGCAATAAGTAACCAGACTTGTTCTCTTCTAACCATTAATAGCTATTTAAAAAACAAACAAAAAAAACATTTCAAGCTTTTAATATTATTATCATTATAGAGCTTCAGTTAAGGTGATCATCTGAAAATCGGCTATTATGCTCAAACACTTATTTGGACAGGTCTGCGTACTCCTCTTTGAGAAAAAAAATGATTTACAGTTTATGAAAAGAGATTCAATGTTTGGACTGTGTATTTTACACTGATGTCAGTACACCAACTTTCATCAAATATGAAAACAAATTCTGCCCTCTTTCAATTTCCTTGATAAGTCTGCTTGTTGGAAAGCATTGGAATAGATTCACTGAGCCAAGTTTCAGTGTAACAAAGGCAGCAGAAAGAGAAAAGGCCTTTCTCTGCATCTGCTGGAGTAATGCCTGCTGGCATATCCAACAGGTCTTCTGCGCTGTATGGTAGAGTTATAGGTGTCAAGACAAACACATTGATGGTCAGAGATGATAGATGTACCTTCAGATGGCAAGGAGGTGGAGAGGGTTGCCTCCTTTAGGTTCTTGGTGACAACAATCAGCTCATCTCTTAAGTGGGGGAGCAACACTGCTGTCTCATTGGAAAAAAACCTCATCAGAGTTTTCTTTATTAGGCAGCTGGTATGATTAGTGACTGTATGTTGTGCTTTTAGAGAGCTCTTTTGGAAAGTGTGTTGACCTTGGAGTTTTTAAACATTGTGTCCACTCACTGTCCACTCTATTAGACGTACCTGCATTGTTGGTCCACCCTGTAGATGTAAAGCCAGAGACGATGGCTCATCTTGCTGTACAGTATAAGCTAATCATCCTCTAGTCCTTCATTGGTGGTCACAGGACGCTGCCCACAGGACACTGTTGACTGGATATTTTTGGTTAATAGACTATTCTCAGGTCAACAGTGACACTGAGGTGTTTAAAAACTTCAGCAGCACTGCTATGTCTGAACCACTCGTACCAGCACAACACACACTAACACACCACCACCATGTCAGTGTTACTGCAGTGCTGAGAATGATCCACCACCCAAATAGTACAATAATTTGTGCGACACCACCAATAGCGAAGTGCGTGAGGCTCATTTCTCGGTTCAGTTAGTCGGCTGCTCGCACACTGGCGCTTCCAGCTCTGAACGAGCTGTTTAAATGTCAAGCAAATTCCCTCTGATTTAGTGCAGTTATCTGATGTCATATGAGTGAGTTTCAGTCAGAGTGTGTGATTGACAGAGTGACAGCTGTAGAGGAACTTTCAGAAGTTTAGCACAGGATTTGAAATATGAGAAGAAATGTATATGTAAACGCCTTTAAAGATGCTCAAGGTCACTGTAAAACAGAGCTAAAGATAAAACACATGCAAGCACAGTTATAAATAAAATATTAAAACTTTTAAGGGGATATAAACAATAATGGACTAAAAAGCATAATATGTTCACAACAAATATGTTGTTTTAAAAGAAGATAAAACATTAACACTGTGTGTAAAAAAACACAAGCTCAAAGAGGGAGTGACTGTGTCAAAACCAGAACACTCCCATCATAATCAGCACCAGCCACAAGCATGAGAAGGCAAGGTGATGCGATCTGCTGTGCTGTTTCTGATGGACACTTTTTTTTTATTAATGATGCATTGTGCTGATGTTCCACCTCAACAAAAATGTATAAGCCGGATGGTGGAGAAAAGGGAGATGTTTGACCTAGAGGTCTGCACAGGTGTGAAATTGAAGCCCGAACTCGACCTGTACCGGCCACATTGAGAACCGACCTGACCAGGCCCAAGCGGTGCTGCTAAACGGCCTGGCTGGTGGTGAACCTGACCTGAACCTGCTTGCATGCATTAACAGAGATGGATTATCACAGACACAGTTATGCAGGGCTTTGCTTTGTTACTAAGTGCTTGAGCTACAGACACTGACTTATCTAGTGCAAGGATGCACTCTGACCTTGACATTAGCTGCTAGAGAAGCGTCGCTAAAAGTGTCGCTAAAGAACAATGTGCTAGACCTCCTGCTATCAAAGTGAAAATACTGTTGTATCACAAGCTCTTAATGCCAAGTACACTTTCTCTGATGTAACGACCTTATGTTTCCACAACGTAGATATCTCTGACTCTTGGAATTTTAAACAGTTCTCCTTTTGTGAGCTTTCTATTTATTTCCTGGAGTACAATAAGTAAGATCAGCTTTGTCGTGTATGTGCTAGACTGTATTAAAGAGAGAAAGAGTGTGTGAGAGAGAAAGTGTACATAGGCATATACAGTTGTATGCAAAAGTTTGAACATCCTCAGTCAAATTCCATATTCTGTTAATTTTCTAAGTGAAAATAATTCACATTTTTCTGTAAATTTAAGTGCACAATTTATATTTATTGGTTGAGTTTAATATATTGGGGGAGAAAAAAAAACGGAGAAAAAAATATATGCCATATGTTTGTAAGACCTGTTATAGTTGTTTTTAAAAGTTTGAAAACCTCTGGTCAAATTATATGTTGTTTTGTTTTTTTAAATGTGAATAACGTTATACATCCACTACAGGCAACAAACGTGCCTAAATATGACCTTTTTCTTAGTGCACAATTTCAGTTTATTGTATTTGATGAAAAAACATAAAATTTAAAATGTACCATAACTTTTGGACAGGCCACGTTTTATGTTTTTTCACCCAAGTTGATATTTTGAAAAAATCTAAGTGAAAATTGTGATCTTGATTAGAAGCAAAAAAGTTGAGATATCCAATTAATTAAGAACTGTCGTGCAGCCTTTGTTGAGTATGTCATTGTTCCTAATTTTGGTGTGTGTTATTCTGCAGTTGCTGTTGGCAGCATGGGACAGCACCTGGTGAAACACGAGCCTTCATCTGAGACCAAGGTACACGCGTGCACACACACACACACAGATACACAGAGTTTGGACTGATATGGAGTTGGATTGATCCCAAAGTTTTGCCTTCAGATATACTTTATGGCCAAAAGTATGTGGACACTTGAACATCACACCTATATGAGCTTATTGGACATCCTGTTCCAAAATCATGGGCATTAATATGGAGTTGCCACCAATTTGTGGGTATAACAGCCTCCACTATTCCTGGGAGGGCTTTCTGCAAGATTTTAGATTTTGATGTGTCTGTGGGAATTTGTTCCCATTCAGTCAAAATTTGCATTTGTGAGGTCAGGCACTGATGTTGGAGGAGAAGGTCTGGCTCACAGTCAGTGTTCTGGTTCATCCTAAAGTTGTTCATTGGGGTTGATGTCAGGGCTCTGTGCAGGCCACTGGAGTTCCTCCACACTAAACTCATCCAACCATGTCTTTATGGATCTTATTTTGTGCAAAGGGACCCAGTCACGCTGAACCAGGGAAGGGCCTTCCGCATTACCCTTCACTGGAACTAAGGGGCTGGGCTCAAACGTTTGGGTGTGCACATATTTTTGGTCATAAAGCATGCCTCCGTATTGATTCTAGAGTTGCACCAACAGTCACAGACATTTTTTGGCCAAAATGGTCAAAAATAGCATTTTAAATAGCATTTTTAGGCAAGATTTTGACTGAAATTATAATAGATCCAAAACGGCCCACATCAAAATTTCAAAATCTTGGACTTTGAAAATCTTTTCATTGATAATGGAAATGTTTATTATCTTCACTTTTCCACAAAGGTGAAGCTTCTTGTTCAGCTGTGGGCATCAGAATGTAACTGCGTTTAGGGAGGAACGGAAAACTTGAATAAAAAGCTGACTTGCAAGTTTTTGTTTTTCATCAGTATTTCTCTTTTCTTTTACTGTCAAAATGATTCATGAAGTCTTAGACTTTAAACACTGTTTAGACACTGTAGGAAAAATCTGATTGCTGAATGAAATATCCAAACTGATTTATAGGAAGAATAAAGAGAAAAATGAGAATAAAAAGTTCATATTACGTTTGTGCTCATAGATTTTTCTGCCTGCTCCTGTTTATTTCAAATCAGGAGCAGCAGTAGTCCTACTGTAAATACTGGCTGTGGTCAGTGCAGTCCAGCAGTTGGTTGTGAGAACCACAGCACTGACTGAAGCTATTTATGCTTTTAATTTGCCTTTTATCTGAAGGGTGCCTCCATACTACTCAGGATGTAGGATGTGGTAGCCTAGCTCGAGGAAGTTAATGATCTTCTGAAACCCATTACTGTTGACAGTGTTTATTGGAATGATGTCTTTTTCAATCATTTCATCATCAGAGCCTCTGCGTGAAGCCTTCTAAGTTTTCCTTGCCGTCATAGAAGAGATGGTTGGCTGTGATGTGTCTTCCTCTGGAAACATTATTGTCGTCTTTGTAAAATGCTCCCACACAGTGGTCCATTTCACCTGCTTCGCATCGCTCTTCTATTTCTTCTGTTTTGTGAAAATTATCATAGCATTGTGTGCTCTATTTACACACTCTTGAGTAAAATGAATGACATGACAAATTTAGCCAAGAACTTTAAGTAAGACTGAAAAAAAGGCCTGGATGGTGGACCACTATTTGATGGTCTTGGATGTATAGTCTTACTATATTTTCATGAAGTTTATCATTAGCTCACTAATTTTAATTACTATATCATGATGGCAGCTAACCAGCATGGTACACATTTAATTGTGCATTTTTAGAACTTCATATTCAAATAACAGTTCAGGAGCAGTAATGTTCATCATAAAACAAGTCAAATGGCATACAAGGAGTACTGAGAGAAGCATCTCAATAGACCAACTAACGCTAGCTGAGTCAAATTGAAAGAATGTGTCAGAGACTGTTTTGCTGTATTACTGCTGCAGTCTGCACACTCCACCCACTATGTGAATTCTTCAAGACACAGTTTTCTGATTAAATATAAAGGCAGCAAAATGGTGGTAAAGTTTCCTTTTTAAATTTTTCATACAGTGATAATTCACAGTTGATGATGCAGTTGATGACACTAACACGTTTCCAGTACTTTCTATTAGAGCCACAATATAAATAACTTTATTTATTCTTTAATGGGCCAACTGACATTTTAAATTCATAAATGAAAAATATGTTGCCTTCTTAAACAACATTAATCAAATCAAAGTCAAGCTTAAAGTCAAAGCTACAGTCGTTTGAAATGTTTGAATACCCCTGGTCGGTCACATGTTTTGTTGACATATTGTACAGCGAACAAACTTAAATATGCTCCTTTTTTTAAATTTCAGTGCACGATTTAATTTCTATTTTTTGTTGACTTTATTGAAAATAAATACAATATAAAATGTACCATAACTTTTTCACAGGCCATGTTTTTAGTTTTATTTATTTTTTTATCCATTATGTTAAACTCAGCAAATAAACTGTAATTGTTTATTAAAATGTGCAGAAATGTGTTCTCTTTAGAGGGTGTGTACTTGTTTTCAACAAAACATGTTATTTTGGCCAGGTATGTCCAACACTGCATATGACTGTAACTATTTAGCAGAATGAGTGATGCATAATTATGCTACAGCATTGTGGTATAGGTGTAGCAGCAGCAGCATTCAAATACAGCATGGCTGTACTTACCTGACTCACATTATATACATCCTAATCTTTATTATTTATGTCTAGTCCTTAAACAGGAAAATCTCACTCTAGAGGCCACTGTGGCACCATTGTAGGAGGCCATTGTATTGTGTTGCCACCATTGTTTTTCATATTATTGTCACTACATTAAAGGGCATATCTGCCAAATTCTATACATTTCTGTGTGATTAAATGATTAGGATATAAATTCAGAGGGGTTTGTTGTGAAATGCTCTGTTCTAGAGAAATTGTTAACAGTTGTGATGATAGGAACCAGATGTCTCTAACTACCTCACAGGAAGGTGTTACATGGAATGGTTATGAATGCCCTGTTTGAAGCCTGAGACATTATAAGATTTTGGCCTTATTTCTAAATCCATTTATGGAGGAGATGTACATGCAGGGCGTTGTAATGTAAAATAGTCCTCAAAGAGAACTTGTTTTTGTTCAGAATTACCACTATTTTACCATTATAAACATTACACACAAAAACATGTAGGTTCACTGGTGTTTTTGAAAAATAAATATAATGGCTATTTGCCTTTGACACTTCTGGTTCCTATCTCCACCGCACTAAAGAAATCTGAGTCGGCAAGTTTCTCTTCAGTGAACCATTTCACATTAAAAAAGCTTTGAACAACTAAATCTCACCGACTAATTATGTAGAAATTTAGAAGAATCAACATTCTCTTTGTACAGGAATCTGTAGTCATTGCTTTACGCTACAGCTAAATGATGAATGATATTTGGTTCCTAGATTGTTTCAGAACCATTCCAGAGGATTTTAGTGATTAAATGTGCTGAAAGGTCAAGCACCAGATTTATCACACGTGCTCTTAAGGGCTAGTCTTCTTGTTCCTTTGTGCTTCAGACTTATGCGCAACTCCTGTTTCAGTCTCATTCGCATCTTTAATGCCACAGCTGTGGTTCTCTGTGGCTGTGAAAATAACTAACAGTGCCAGAAAGAAATAAATTTTCAGAATGGCGACAACAGCACTTAACTGTAGGGGTCCAGAGAGTGTGAAAAATGTGATTTTTGTGAACGATTATAGCGCATCTGGAGTCAAAGAATAGCACTGGGCTTTCTGAAAAGACACTCCATCCACCTCCTATCATAATGAACATCTGTAAATGCTTTTTCAGATGCTTCTCTTTCTCTCTTTTTTTCCCCCGCTTTTCTTCCTCTCTTTCCTCGTTATTTCTTTCCCTTTTCTTTCTCGCTTTTGTCTCTGTGTACACTTTCTCTCTTCCCTCTCCTGCTTTTTCTCTCTTTTTGCCTTTCTCTCTACCTTCCCTTATTTTTTTCTCTTGTTCTCTGTCTCCTCTCTTTCTTTCCCCTGTACTTTCTCTTTTTTTCTCTTGTTTTCTCTCCTCTTATTTTACCTCCCTCTCCTTTTTTCTCTCTCTCATTGCTGCTCTCCCTCTCCTTCCTTATTCTCTCACTTTTCTTTTGGTTTTATCTCTCCCTTTCTTGTCTCTCCCTTTCTCTTCTCACCCTCTTATTTCTGTTTGTTGCCTCTTTTTTCGTATTCTCTCTCTCTCGTTTTTCTATCTTTGTGTCGCTCTGTTGCCAAGTCTTTCCCCTCTCTCTCTCTCTCTCTCTCTCTCTCTCTCTCTCTCTCTCTCTCTCTCTCTCTCTCTCTCTCTCTTACGTCGTTCTTTTTTTTCTTTTGCCTTGCTCTTTCTGTCGTCTCTCTGTTCTCTCTTTTTATTCTCATTCTTCTTTCTTTCCCTCTTTATCTGCTTTTCTTTCTCTTTTATCTCTTGTTTTTTGTTTTTTCTCTCTGTCTTTAGGACTTCTGAAGGCCCTTAGAGTTCTACACTGTGGTGTGAGTATTGAAAAAGAAAAAGGTTTACTCTATTTACCTCATATTGGGTTTACAATATAACTTACAATATATTTAAAAGACATTATGAAATCAGTCATGGTTAAAGATTGGCCCGCATTATTCCAACAAAAATACTTCTTGTTGAATTACATGAATGCCCTGGCTTATCAGAATGCTCACTGAGCTGTCATTGATCATGATGCTCATAGCACACAGTAAAAAACACTGTCGGCTTGATGTACTGCACCTTTTGCGTCAGTTTCAGGGAAAAATGAGACACATTCTGCCATGTACATGGTAAAATGCTAAATGCACTTCTGTAGCTCATCCTTATGCATTTGAGTGAGCAGCACATACAATGTGGGAAGATTGCGCCAAAAGTGGGTGGGGATATTATACATGTGGCTGATTACATATTTTGTTTGATTTACTAAAGTTTGAGCAACTCAGAGTGGCCAATTTTGCACCGATTTTCCACCGCATTTTAAAACAGGGTGTGAATTTGCAGGGTCACAA